TCCCATGGTGGGATTGGAACCGTGTGTCGCCCCCTCCCCACTGCCTCCGGGCTGGCGAATGTCCCTCCCCCGTGCTGTCCCCGGGCTGGGAGCACTCCCTCCCTGTTGTCATTGAGGAGGGGACATCCCCCACGGCCTCCCCCGTGGTGGGAGGCATCGAGCCGGTGTCCCCAGAGCAGCGAGTGTCCCCCCCAGTGGTGTCCCGGTGGCAGGTGTCCCCTGTGGTGCTCCCGTGGAGGTGACCGTCCCCCCCCGGTGTCCCCGGGCTGGCGTGGTGTGTGGCGGGGGGCACACGGGGCGCAGCCGGTGACTCCTGCCCTGTCCCCACAGTCCTTCCAGGGCAGCCATGGCCGTGCCTATCTGTTTAACTCCGTGTGAGTACCCGGGGGGGGGGCAGGTGGTGGGCACCGGCGGGCACCCAGGGCTGCTCTCCTGGCCGTGCCGGTGCCGTGCCGGTGCCGTGGCAGTGGCCCAGCACCGCCTCTCGTGCGCAGGGTGAACGTGGGCTGTGGCCCGGCCGAGCAGCGGCTGCTGCTGACGGGGCTGCACTCGGTGGCCGACATCTTCTGCCAGAGCTGCAAGACCACCCTGGGCTGGAAATACGTGAGTGCCCCCACCCCGGCACACCCCTGCCCGGCACCCCGGGTACCCCCAGGCTGGGCACCCCAAACCATCACCTAGACACTCCCCCTGGGAACCCCTGGGTGAGCACCCCAAACCACAACCCAGGTACCCCAAACCCCTGGGCTGGGCACCCCACACCAAGACCTAGGCACCCCTGAGCACCCCAAAGCCGTATGGAGGCAGCCCCAGGCACCCCAACCCCAGGCCGTGGGTGGCGGGGGGGCGGCAGCCCCGGGGTCGGGGGTCTGAGGGTGTCTCCCCCAGGAGCAGGCCTTCGAGAGCAGCCAGAAGTACAAGGAGGGGAAGTTCATCATCGAGATGTCGCACATGGTGAAGGAGAACGGCTGGGACTGAGGGGCACGGCGGGGGCAAACCCTCCCAGTGGCACCCCCAGCCAGGGGGTGTCCCCTGCTGCCCCCCTGGAGGCCGTGGTGCCCATCACCGGTGTGAGGGGGGCTGCGGGGGCTTTTCTAGTGCAATAAAGGCTTTTTTTTTTTAGGAAGGTGCTGGGTGTCGCCCACCCCCGGCGCTGCCACCAACCCCGGCTCAGCCCTGGCACCCAGCCAGGGGGGTCCCTGATAGCCCCCAACTTGTCCCCCCTGCACCCGGGCTGCCCCTTCCCCTCCCCAAAGGCAGGAGCCACGGTCAGTGCGTTTATTGGAGGTGGGGAGGGAGGGACAGGGGGAGGGAAGGAGAGCTGGAGAGAGGGAAAAGAGGGAAGGATGGAAACTGGAGGGTGGTTGGAGGGAAAGAGGAAGGGAGGGGTGAAAAGGGAGGGGAGGAGGGAGGGAAGGAGAAAGGGAGGAGAGAAAGGAGGGAGGGACAAGGGATGGAGGGAGGGAAAAGGAGGAGGGATGGAAGGAGAGAAGGAGGGATGGAAGGAAGAAGGGAGGAAGGTAGGGACAAGGGAGGGAGGGAGGGCAGGAGGCAGGGAGATGGAGGGGTGAGAGGAGGAGGGCAGGAGGCAGGGAGGGAGGGCAGGAGGAGGGCAGGGCTCAGGGCTGGGGGTCGCTGAGGCGGCCCATGAAAAGGGGGACGCTGTGGGCGTCGTGCCAGAGGACGAAGAGGAAGGGGCGCAGGGCCTCCAGCAGCAGGACCGTGCGGGCCACCGAGGTGGCCATGGCTCCTGCTGCCTCCACACCGGCCTCGTCCAGCGCCAGCACTGCCCGGTGCCGTGCCGTGTCCACTGCCACCGCCGGGCCCCGTGCCAGCCCGCACAGCTCCGCGTCCAGGAACAGCCCAAAGTCTGCAGCACACGTCCTCAGCGCCAGCCCCGCGGGGACACGGGGGACGCCGGGGAAGGACAATGGGGATGCGGGTGCAGAGGGAGCACTAGGGACATGGGGGGCACTGAGGGGCCTTGGGGACACTGGGGATGTGGGGGACAGTGGGGGTGCATCAGGGACACTGGGGATATTAGGGGCAATGGGGGGCGTTGGGGGACACTAAGGAATGGGGGGGATATTGGGGTGACTGGGGATGCCAGAGACCGCAGGGGTAATATGGGGACACTGGGGACAAGGGGGACATCATGGGCAGTGGGGGCATGGGTACAGTGGGGCACATCAGGGGCACTGGGGACATGGGGGACAGCAGGGACACAGGGCTACTGGGGGACCCTGGGGACATCAGAGGCACAGGGACATTGGGGGCCCTGGGGACAGGGACCTGCACAGGCACTGGGGGGGGACAATCACATCCCACAGGGAGTGACGTCATCGCATGTCACCTCCTGCGTGGGAGGTGACGTCACCCGAGCCCACCCAGCCCCAGGGGTGCTGTCAGGGGCAGGTCCCCGGGGGGGATCGGGGTCTTACCCATGTCATGGACCAGGGCCACCACATCCAGGGCCAGGTCGAGGCGCAGGCGGGGCAGGGCCAGCGCGGTGGCCTGGGGGGGGGTGCGGGCCACCCGCCGCAGCAGCCCCAGGAAGGTGGGGGGGTCCAGCGCCCTCTCCAGCCCCCCCAGCGCCCCCAGGGGCCCCTGTGGCACCAGCACCACCAGGCTCAGCCCCTCGCTCAGCTGCAGCCGCCCCACCTGCGGGACAGACCCCCCCAGTGCCACCGTGGTGACCTCACAGCCTGGCACCCCCCCAGTGCCACCACTGTGACCTCACAGCCTAGCACCCCCCCAGTGCCACTGTGGTGACATCACAGCCTGGCACCCCCAGTGCCACCACTGTGGCATCACAACCTGGCACCTCCACAGTGCCGCTGTGGTGATGTCACAGCCTGCCACCCCTCCCGCCCCGGGTGCCACTGTGACAGGAGCTTGGCATCCTTCTTGAGTCCCGTGGCAGTGACGTCACAGCCTGCCACCCCCCTTATGCCAGGGCAGTGACGTCACAGCCCCCCCCATGCTGTGGCAGCGGGGTCTCAGCCGTTGGGGGGGGCCGTACCTGGACCTGCAGGCGGGAGTCGATGAAGGAGGCCACCGGGTACTTCTTGCTGGTCATGGTGGGCACCAGGCGAGGGGGGTGCCCGGGGCGCAGGAAGGGCAGCGACATTGTATTCTTGGCCTTCAGCGGCACGCGCCAGGCGGCTGCGGGGACACAGCACCGGGGATGGGGACACGGGGTGGCTGCCAACCAGGGCACCCCCGGGCTCGGCCCCACAACAGACCCCGAGAGAATCCTGGGGCAGATCCCAGAGCCCTTCCCCTGAGCGGGACCTGGGGCAGATCCCGGGGTAGATCCCGGGGCAGATGAGATCCCTGAGTCAACCCCCAGGGCAGATCCTGGGGCAGATCCCGGAGGAGATCCCTGAGTCAACCCCCAGGCAGATCCTGGGGCAGATCCCGTCTGGGGCCGTACCCTGGAGGTGGACGGCGCTGAGCAGCAGCAGGCGGGGGTCGGGGGGCATGGAGGGCAGGAGGCTGGGCAGGGCCCCCCGGCTGGCCTCGCGCACCCACTCGTTAACGTGCAGCAGGTCCAGGCTCTCGTTGCCACTCAGCGCCTGCGGCCGAGCGCCGTAGAAGCGCTGCGACTCGTTGAGGAAGCGTGTCCGGAGCTGCAGCTCTGCCCGGCGGCACGGCTGGCGTCAGCCCCGTGCCTACCCGGCATCGGCGGCCCCGCCAGCGCCCGGACCCCCCACCTCACCTGGGTGGTGGAAGATCTGCGTGGCGGAGAAGAGTCCAGGCGCGCTGGCGAGCTGCTGCAGGGTGCTGTGGATGCAGGCCAACCCCTGCGGGTACGCCAGGATGGCACCCAGGCGGTCACGGGTCTCGCCACGGGCACCTGCAGGCACAGGGGGATCTCAGTGGGGCACCCGTGGGTGCGCGGTGCTCTGGGTTGGGACACGGGTGGTGCCCACAGCAGAGCCCATAGCGGTGGTGAGGGCAGTGCCCACAGCAGAGCCCGTGGTGGTGCCCATGGAGGTGCCCACAGCAGAACCCACGGCAGAACCCACAGCAGAACCCGCACCAATGCCCATGGCAGAGCCCATAGTGGTGCCCATGGTGGTGCCCGTGGCAGAGCCCACAGCAGAGCTCACAGTGGTGCCCACAGTGGTGCCCACAGCACTGCCAACAGCAGGACCCACAGCAGAACCCACAGCCGTGCCCGCAGTGGTGCCCATGGCAGTGCCAATGGCGGTGCCTGTGGGCTGCCCCTCACCCAGCAGGAGGTGCGAGAGCCCCATGGCGACGTTGATGGGGGAGAAGAGCAGGTTGGCATCGGGCTGGGCAGCCTCCGCCATGTGCTGGTAGAAGCGGAGGGCGAAGGTGCCCAGTGCCTCGGCCACGGCCGCCTGCTGCTCCCCCGTGGGTGCCCCACAGTCCTCAGCCGGCTCCTCGTCCCCAGGGCACGGCAGGCACGATGGGGTGATGGTGCCCACGGCGCTGGGGGGGCTCTGGGTGATGCCAGGCACTGGTGCTGCCATGGTGCCGTTGGCTGTGGTGTCTGGCTCCTCGGGTGCCCCCCCAGCCTCCTCAGGGCTGGGGGTGTCTGTGGCCTTGAGGGGGGCACCCAAGCCAGGCAGGTCCTCAGGCTGGGCAGAGGGGGTGGGCACGGGCAGGAGGGGTGCCCCCACATCCCCTGGTGGGCCTGTGGCGGGATGGGGGGGCACCAAGGGTGGTGGGTCCTGTCTGAGCAGCTTCAACCGGCTGGGAGAGACCTCCAGTGAGGGCACCTGCGCACGGGGACCCGGTGAGGGTGGGCAGGGGGAACCCGGGCGCAGGGAGCCTGATGACCCTGGGCCACACTTACCGGGGTGACAGCAGCCATGGCTGTGGCCACCAGCCACAGCAGGGGCAGCCAGAGTGTCATGGTGGGCATCCTGGTGGGCATCCTGGTGGGCGAGCACAGGACAAGCGCTTGATGGGCACCCAGCGCCCCCCCCTTCAGCTCCCAGCGCCCCCCCTCCCCCCCC